CTGTCTTCTGGGTTGTTGCGCCGTGTAGTCTGTTAGATGTTTACCAACGTTTCGGAGGTCATACTGCCTCTGTCATCAGGGCGATATACTCACCGCTGTGAAAACCTCAAATCTTACGTTGTATGAAGCTGTTTCACATAGAGGGGGGAAATCATTAATGCCTAAAAATGTTATATCTTAAGGTAGACAACCAGTTATAATTTTTTTGTGAGGGTAAATATTTAACGAAACAGCGGGACGTAATCATTTGTGATGATGAAATGTTACCAGCAGCGTAAATAAACTTCAAGGACGTGTATGATTGGCATTGCATCAATACATTTTTCACGACAGACCGTCTTTGCTGAAGTATATAATGGGTTTTGCAACTTGCAGGAAATGACCATTACTTCCCTATAAGAACAAATTTCGTTGTCGTGTTGTTAACATTGCCGCTTCAAAATTGGAAGGTCGCCTGTTCAAATCTTGGCACGGAGACCAGGTGTCCTCAGTGACTTTCATGTGAATTTTCTCACACAATGTGGGAGGGGGTTATATATTGAATCGTGCCTTTCCAATTATTTCTATCTTTCATAGCTATAATTTGAGTTGCTGGTAGTATCTTCACGTAAATCATAATTTATAAATGACGGTAAGTTACGAAAAATTTATACTTCAATCACTCAACAAATTGGAAACCAAACAAAAACAAGGAACCAACGTAATTCTGTTATAGTGTTGTGGTCTGTGAGTACAAAAAGTGACACGAGAAAATCTCGTCTAAAACAGAGCAGAATAGAATACGCAAATTCAAGAATTTTTACATCGCGAATTCTTTAAATTTACACGTGGAAACATAACTACTTTTAAAGTTTGTTCAATGAGACATGCCAACATACCGGTATACAATATCTGTAAGGAAATTGTGTCGTAAAAGGCTTTGTTAAAATTCGTTAAGAGGTCCGTAGAATCGATTTTAATTAAAATTTTCAATGTGTGCACACAATGTCGGTAAGAAGTTGTTCGTTCATCGTTTACCCAACATCCCCAGAGATGACGCTGTAAGATATTAAGATGAACGAGCCATGCGTTAAAACGTAAAGAACCCCTTTCTATTCTCATTTACGTAGGAAAGTTTAGAATATTCTTCTTGAGATGATAAAGTTGCGTCATATTGTGATAAATATATATTTCTTTAAATCTTGTCAGTCTAATCAAAATTACTATTAATATTTAAATATTAATAGTAATTTTGATTAGACTGACAAGATTTAAACAAATATTCTTCTTGCTTTATCGCTTAAACCTACTATTGTACCAGATTTATTGTCGTGTATCTTCCATATTTCTCCGCAGAGAATGATCGAGGTTAGTATTAACAATTCTGAAGCATATGCGATTAACTAAATATGAATTAACACATAAATATAGAACGAATTTTTTAGGTGCTAAAAATTTAAACAAATATTTAATTCTTTAAGATTAAAAGAAATAAGCAGACATTATTTTTAAAGTACCCATGATTGTACAAATTACTCAGGAAAAATTGCTGTTTTTTGGGTTGTAGCACCGTGTAGTCTGGTAAAAGTTAACCAACGATTCAGAGATCTTTCATGTCTCAATCATCACGGCGCGATCTACCTGATTATGGAGGCAGCAAGGACCAACCAGAACCCAGAATACAGCTATTTCTGGACTAACCGTCGTGAAAATTCTTCTCACTAAAAGCCTTCAGTATCTCAGACAGAAAGTGAGTCTCTTTTGCAGAGAACCACGAAAAGTCATCTTCAAATTGAATCGTAAATCTGTCAGTAATCACGGAAGTAATTTGTATTTAGAAGAATTACGTCGTATCAGCCTTGCATACATGTAACAGATTATTTAACTAACATTAAATTCTTTCCTCCCAAATCTGTCGCAAAAGTTACAAAATTGCAAATTGCTGAAGAAGAATTTGCAGCAGAATGTGTCGAGTGGTCATTACGCAATCAGTAGCAGTTGTTTTGTTTGCCATCCGGATTAATTTGAAACGGCAAACATTACACGGAGTGTCACTTATGCTCTTCCTACATTCAAATAGCTGGAGTTCCCAGCGTCATTACAAAGCGATGGGTATTTATCGGAAAACGTATCGCGAAACTGAAAGTGCTGAAAACAGCCCACACAGACGTGTGGAATATCCATTTACACAGTATTCAGGGTGTGTGTAATCCAAAATATTTATTTGCATAAATAAATGTAGAAATAATGTGTTTTAAGTGGCGTAAAACTCTATAAGTTGTAACTTGAACATTCTTGAGATTTTATATCTGCAAAGATTTTTTCCAGCTAGAAATACGTTTACTCTATTAACTAACAAATTCGTTGCTGTTGACACGAAAGCCATGATTTCATAATTCTAGGACGGTTCATTGGCTGCTAGGTAATTAGTTTCTTGATGTCCTGGTAATTTGTATGGTAATTTTACATTTGTTTGCTGAGTTCGTTGTTGGTT